GTGACCTCACAGCAGACGGCCCATGACCTCTCAGCCCAGTGACCTCACAGCAGACGGCCCATGACCTCTCAGCCCAGTGACCTCACAGCAGATGGCCATGACCTCTCAGCCCTGTGACCTCACAGCAGGTGGCCTGTGATCTCACAAAGCCTTGTGACCTCACAACCGGCGGCCTATGACCTCACAAAGCTGGGACACTAGTCAATCAAAGTATGAGTTTGTGTTCCCAGCTCCAGACTGGATCTCCCAAACCTGGTCATACAGTACAATGTTTGAGACCAATCCAAAATGCTTGGTGAGGATATTCTCTGTTCTCCTAGTCGGAAAACGGTACTTCAAATTAAAGTTTCTTGAACGAGATGATGCTTTGAAAAGACGATCCCTCTAACAATACAGCAAACCCTCCGATAGCGCGCGCTCCCATCGGACCAGCCCTCTGACAGCGCCATTCTGCCTTGGTACTGCCCTGAAGTGATAACTTTGATGTTTGAGTGTTTGGAGTAAGATTTGAAATCCATGACTTTGAGTGCAGTAACTGGAGTGGTAGCTGCTGAGGCAGCAGTATGGGACTTTTGCCAAAACAGATGGGGAGCCGTGGGATGGGAAGATAATGACGTTTTCATTGTAAGCAAATCTGTCTGTGTCTGGCAGGCTGTTGGAGCGACAGTGTTGATCAGCGCCGCTCCTTTCTTCATCCTGTTTTTCATCCCCGTCGAATCGAACACCTCCAAACACAAGTGCCTTCTCAAGGTGCTGCTGAGCTTTGCTTCAGGAGGGCTCCTTGGAGATGCCTTTCTCCATCTCATTCCACACGCACTTGGTGAGTTGGCATGTCTGGAGGCACTGGGCACTGGGAGACTGGGAAGAGAGGGATAGGATGCAGTGATGGCCAGAGAACAGGACATGAGGAAAAGCCATTGGGGTAGTGGGAGAAGTGGAACGGGAGGGAAGGGAGTGAGTGAGGTGGCGGTGAAATGGAAGGGGCAGGAGCAAGAGAGACACAGCGGTTTTCATAGAATCCTTACAGTGTGGAAACAGGCCATTCAGCCCAGCAGCTCCACCCTGACTCTCGGAAAGCAATCCCACCCAGACTCACCCCTGTGATAGGGATAGGGATAGGGTTAGGATTAGGGTATCCCTATAACCCTGCATTTCCATGGCCAATCCACCTAACCTGCACACCTTTGGACTGTGGGAGGAAACTGGAGCACCCAGAAGAAACCCAAGCAGATGCAGGGAGAATGCACAAGCTCCACACAGACAGTCGCCTGAATTGAAATTGGAATTGAATCTGGGTCCCTAGGGCTGTGAGACAGCAGTGCTAACCACTGAGCTAGTGTGCCACCCCATCCTGTAGGCAGCATGGGGCACTGTGACACAAGGGGGCTGTGTGTCGGGAGCAAGGGGACCAGAATGGAATGTGGGGTGGGACTGGAGCAAAGAAGTGATGGGCAGGTGGGGAGATGAGAGGAGTCATGGCGAGGCCAAGGGGCTGTTTGGGGTCTGGATGAGCTGGCCGTTTTTGGGGAGAGGGAAGGTGAGAAATAGGGTAAACACCCTTCAGACACATTTGAGAACCAAGTGCCCTTTGGGGGGTTTGTGCCAGGTGTTTCTGAACTCTCGGCTCTGGGAAGCGAAAAGGTGACATGGAGCACTGTGGGAAGGAGACAGTCATCAGACCTGGACTCTGTCTGATCTGGGAGTGCTGTCTTTGAGGCTGGGGGTGTGTGGGTGAAGCAGGGGGGATTCTGATGGAGCATTCCTGTGCAGATTCTCACACGTCCGTCAGCAGCTGCTGGATCCTGGCATAGCTGGCCTGCTTTATCATCCCGCTTCCCTTCATGGCAGTATTAGTGGATACGAGTTCAAGGCTGAGTGTTCGTTTCTTAAAATAAAGTGTCGTTGTGTCGCTAACGTCTCCACAGCTGGATTGAGTTTAAATCTATACATTGAGCAGAAATCTGGAATTGATCGCTCGTCTTGAATGTACAGAGATCACTGATTGTTAATAGAATCCCTACAGTTTAGGAGCAGGCCATACGGTCGATCGAGTCCACGCTCTGAAGAGCCATCCCACCCCATCTTTGTAATGCTGCATTTCCCATAGTTATCCCACCTAGCCTGCACATCTCTGGACAATTTAGCACGATGCATCCACGTAACATGCATATCTTTGGACTGTGGAAGGAAACCCGCGCAGACTCTACACAGACAGTCACCCGAGGGTGGAATGGAACCCCAGTCCCTGGCGCTGTGCTAACCACTGAGCCACCGTGCCGCCCCTGTTTTCTTCTTTTTTTAAAAAAAAAAGTCTCAAAGGAAATGAGTGTGCAGTCCTTACCTGTAAATTCTATGTGAGTCTTGACTAACTGCAAAAACAATTAGAAACCTGCAGCTATTGCTGACATTGCTGGAAGGGGTATTGGGTTTGGGGCGGGGGGGGGGGGGAGGGAAATGTGGGAAAGGGGGGGGAAGGGGGTATTGCTAAGGGAGGAAGTGAAATGGAGTATCAGGGAAAGTGAAGGGGATATCGGGAAGGCGAGCAGAGGTCAGGCTGCATTAAGGGAGACAAGCTGAGTGGATCTGGAGTCTTGGCTGCAGCACTATGCATGGACGAGTGGCACCCCATGGTGCTGCAAGCTGAGGGGCAGACGTTTGAAAAGTAAATGCTTCTTTTTTTTTCCCATCTAGATCCACATTCTCACAATGAGGCTCCTGAGCGCCGCCTCAAACCTTTGGAGAATATTGACCATGGGCACTCACATCGAGGTAAGAGAGCAACAGCACAGAGCCCGTGGCAGTGCGGCACCCCCTCTGGACTGACATGGAAATATAGAAACCTGGGAGTAGACTTTGGTGCTTTGGATCCTTGTGTCTGCTTTGCCATTCAGTATGATAATGACTGATCGTTGGCTCGATGTTCCATTCCTGCACTCTCCCTCTGCTCCTCGATGCCTTTAATATCCCAAAACCTAGTGAATTTCACATTTCTAATAAAGAAATGTTTTCTCTTATCATTCCTAAATGGCCTACTCACATCTCCTGAGACTGTGACCTGTGGTTGTAGACACCTCAACCATGGGAAAGTATCCCCCCCGCTGCGTCTACTCTATCTAACCCTGTTAGAGTTTCTTAACGTTTCAGTCCGATCCACTCTCGTTTTTGTAAACTATCGTGACTACAGGCCCAATCTCTCCTCAGAGGACAGTCCTGTCATTCCTGTTAGCCTTGTCTTGGCTTGAGTTAGAAGTTTGTTTTGTTTTAATTGCAAAGTCTTTGTTATTTCTTTTCTGACTTTTAGAAAAGAGAGGTTAGGATCTGGTTTTTGGGACGTCTGCCTCCCAGCTGCTTTCTTGCCCCTTGGCTCAGTGCCTTTCTGCTACTTGAAGCCTGTCCAAAATCTGTTGCTAGGCAGTTAGTTTTTCTTTTTTAAAAGGCACCTGATACCAGTGCACAAGTATCTAAACACAGCCTCCAGCAATGTTTACATGCCCTATGTGACTGATAAATGACCACATAGTTCCACTTTTCTTTTAATCATCAAAAAGCAGCAAATAGTCCAATTTTACATTTTCCGGTTTATAGTTCCATGTGAAATAAGAGTAATCCTTTCAACAGATCTGTATGCGGGCAGTTAGTGAGGAGAGGTATGATGATTTTTCCCCTTTTGCTGGTTCCTTCCCCATCTGCCATGGACCCAGCCTGGCAGCTATGACCTTTAAGACTTGGCCAGTCAGTGGTATTGGTGAGCCACTCCTGGTGAAGGTCACTGAGGATCCCCCAGTGAGAGTGCGTTCTTGCCGCCTTCAGAGTTTGTTTCAACGTGAGGGTGGGGCGTGGCATGGCATGGCAATCTGCAGGAGGTTTCCTTTCATGGAATCCCTACAGTGAGGAAGTAGGGCATTGGGCCCATCGAGTCCACGCCGACTCCCCCAACAGCATCCCACTTTTGGCAGTGAACATCCCCTCCCACCTGGTGATACTAAGGAGGACTTTGCAAAGTTGACAGGGCTGAGGTTGGCATTTTCAGTGTCTAGGTTTTTTTTTTTGCCAGGCAGTCTGTCTGGTTTCATTCTGGCTTTGAGATTTCCTTCCCTAAAAGGCATTAGCGAACAATTGACTCCCTTACTTAGCGATGTACTTTGTACCATCTACAAGGTGCCCTGCACTTCACAAAACCATTATCAGTCGTCGTTGTCATCATTGGACTTTTAGTTCCAGGGGGTTTATATTGAGTTGAAATTCTGTCTGCCCCGGTGAGATTCGAACTCGGGTCGCCCGAGCATGATGTGGTTCTCTGGTTTATTAGCCTGGTGTCATATCCAGGAGGCCTGCATTGTCCCTGCATGGTGCAGTTCTCCCTCTGTTCTGACCTGCTGGTAAGTGTTACCTTTGCCCCTCTCAGGCTGCAAGCAGCGCAGGGACCATGGCCTGATTGCTCCATGTTTCACGAGTGAAGTGGCTCACTGTCGCCTCTCTGCGCTCCCCCCCCGCTTTCCCCCCCCCCCCCCCCCCCCCACACCCGCTGCAGGTGACGACCACGACCACTCCCACATGATGTCTGTCGGCCTGTGGGTCCTCGGTGGAATCATCGCCTTCCTTGTGGTGGAGAAGTTTGTGCGTCATGTGAAAGGGGGTCACAGTCACAGTCACAGTCATTCTCACGGTGCGTTGTTGGGGACTGTTCGTTGGGCATTGAGGCGGGCGGGGGGACAGGTGGTTGGTTGCTGGGTACCTTTTTTTTTCGTCAAGGGTCGGAGAGCTGGGAGGAGGGGTATTGATACCGTCCATTGGTTCTGAGTCTTCCACGGGTTATCGGTGCCACCGTCGAAGGCCCCATCTCTAATGACCCTCGAATTGAGTGGCCAGCTGAACTGTTTGAGGTCAGTCACGTTGCTGTGGGCCTGGAGTTGCATAGACCAGTCAGTGGTTGTGAACTACATGGGCTTTGAAGATCGCCACTGCTGCTGGCTTCCAAGTCCAGTTTTATCGATCGAATTTAAATTGCCTCAGTCACCGTGACGAGACTTGAATCTGTCCCCCCAGGGCATTAGCCTGATCCTCTGGTTTACTCATCCAACGGTGCCAGTGCTAAATGGTCAATGGCTCGGCTCCTCATCTGTGTTTCTGCCTCAGAGGGGACTTCACTGCTGTTTACGCTGTGAGCTGGCAGTGCCTAAGTGCGATGGGAATAACATTCCAGAACTGGCTGGGCGGGACTGCAACATCCCTTCGTGATTGAAAATTCCCCGGATTACCAGGAAGCAGGGATACAGGTGGCCACTGGACACGGAGGGGTAAGGAAGCGGGATGCAACTGAGGTGTCTGTGCCAACATTACCCTAGTGGTGTTTGATCGGACACTCGTAGAAGGAGCTTTACTCTGTGTCTAACCCCATGCTGTCCCTGTCCTGGGAATGTTTGAAGAGGACCGTATAGAGGGACCTTCACATTAAAAGAATAGAGAGAGCTTTACTCTGTAACTAACCCTATGCTGTCTCTGTCCCAGGGAGTGTTTGATGGAGGCAGCGCAGAGGCAGCTTTACTTTCAATTTAAAAGAATAGAGGGAATTTTATGCTGGCTAACCCCATGCTGTCCCTGTCCGGGGAGTGTTTGATGGGGTGCCAGTGTCGAAAGAGCTTTAATCTGTATCTAACCCCGTGCTGTCCCTGTCCTGGGAGTGTTTGATGGGGGCCAGTGTCGAGAGAGCTTTAATCTGTATCTAACCCCATGCTGTCCCTGTCCTGTGATGTGAGAGACACTAGCACTAATGACAAAGTGTGCGCACACACGTGCCCATTGTCGGTATCTTCCTTTTCCTGGTTTGGGGCGAGGGAGAGTTTTCCAGATCTGCCCCTGATCTGTCAGTGACGGTGGAGAAGCCTGCAGTAGGTGGGGGCTCAGAGATGCCTCGCTGTCTGACTCTCACTGTCTGTTCCTCCAGCTGCTGCTCCGAACGCCAAGGAGAGCTCGGAGGAGGAGGAAAAGGAGAAGGATCACAGTAAACATGGTGAACAGAGGGCTGGCAGCAGGCGCCGGAAGCCCGAAAGCCCCCGTATCAAGACCGAAGCTGCCAAGGCCCCAGGACAGGGTGAGTGCAGAGAACCCCGGTCGCCCCAGTCTCCAGGGCAGGGCAGGGCCGGGAGCCCTCTCCCGTGGGGTTAGGCTTTGTGCCGTGGTCTCGGCCCCTTTTTGGGGGCATCCTCAAGGAGCAACTCCATCCGGCCACTTCTCCCACATCTGCTGAGGATCACGCCACACGGTCGATCCCGGAGAGAGGGGACGTTACGGTTTGTTGGAGGAACACGTCATGTCTGGGGATACAGGGGATACCACACTGGTGTCATACCTCTGACTGAGACCTGGGGCTGGACTGCCTTTCCATGGAGCACTGTCTCACAGGGCTTCTCTCTCTCTCTCTCTCTCTCTCTCCAGTCTCGGATATCAAAGTGTCGGGATATCTGAACCTGGCGGCTGACTTCACCCATAACTTCACCGACGGCCTGGCGATTGGCGCCTCCTTCCTGGTCAGCACCAATGTGGGCATCATCACCACCGTCACCATCCTACTCCACGAGATACCGCACGAGATCGGAGACTTTGCCATCCTGGTGCAGTCTGGTTGCAGCAAGCACAAAGTGAGTGTCGCTGAAGACCCCTTGCCCCTGAGGTTGGTCTCGGGCTGAGAACTGTCTGCCTTCTGTGACGCGCACCAACACTGGTTCCACACAACAGTCTCGCACCTCCATCCCTACGACCAACCCAGTCTCTACGCTCCTCAAATTCCAGCCACCGTAGCCTCCCCACTGACCAATTTTAATCGCTGTGCCTTCAGCTGCCTAGTGCCTCAGTTCTTTCCCTAAACCCCTCCATGCCCTGGCTTCTTTTCTAACAGGTGCCCCTTGCTCCTGGGCCTGGCCAGGCTGGTCTTAATCAGGTGCAGGCTGTGGAGGGGATTATCTCTGCTGCCTACCCCTCTTCTGGGGTTATGCCCGTGCCTTGGAGAGAGGGAGCACGCTTTGTCCTATCACTGACTTTAGAGAGAGGGAGAGGTGGGCACCATGGGGAATAGAGTGTATTTCCTCCTCCAACTCTATCTTGATTTAGCCCCTTCCCAATCTCCCTAAACCCACCTCACTTTTGATGGGTTTTTATTGCCTTTAATGGGCTTTGCTTGTTGCCATTTAAATGGCTACATGGGCGTTTTACCAGTGGTGGTCAGCAGTTAGACGGAAAAAGAAAACAATTTATGGTGATTTGGTGGTGGGAGGGTTGCGTGTGATAGCATTGCTGGGTCTGAGAAAATGAGACACTCTGTAACACCTTTCCTCCTCATTCTGCACTTCACTTTGACTAAATTGTTGAACAACGCAGCACACGAAGAAATATTTTGACGCTATTAGTCAGTCCCACTTCCTTGCTTTTTCCCAATTTTCGTTTCACTCCTTCCAGTATTTAAGATTAGATTCATGCAGCACGGAAACAGACCCTTTGGTTCAACTCATGGACGTCAACCAGTTTTCTCAAACTAAAATAGTCGTGCTTGCCTGCGTTTGTCCCATATCCCTCCAAACCTTACCTAATCATGTTCCTGTCCCAACAATTTTTAAATGTTGTAACTGTACCTGCATCTACCACTTCCTCTAGCAGTTCACTTCCACATAAGAAACACCTTCTGTATGAAAAGGTTGCCCCTCCAGTCCCTTTCAAATCATTCCCCTCTCAGCTTAAAACATGCCCCCCTAGTTTCGAATTCCTCTAACCTAGAGCAAAGACCTTGGCTATTCACTTTATCTATGCCTCTAATGATTTTATAAACCTCTATAAAGTCACCATCTTCCTCCTGCAGGAAGAGATGGAGTGCCTAGGGAGTGAAACTGAGAGACAGAGGGGTAGGGGGTGGGAGAGCGCTCAGGGAGAAAGAAATGCATGCAAAAGAGAGAGAGAGAAACCCAGGGAGGGACAGAGGAAGATCCCAGGCAGAGAAAGAGAAAAATACCCAGCGAAACAAAGAACAGACAGAGTGAAACCAGAGAGAAATAGAAGGAGAGACAGAGAAGACAGTGTAAAGCCCAGGGAACGAATGAGAAAAGGACCGAGGCAGAGAGAACCCAGAGGGAGGAACCAAGAACAAATAAGGATAGAGCAAAACCCCAAGGAGAGAGGGATGAGGGGCAAAATAAATTTTAAAAAAACAAGGAGAGAGACAGAAGGATCAGACACAGAGGGAGAGAGACAGAAGGATCAGACACAGAGGGAGAGAGACAGAGATGAACAGACATGGAGGAAATCTAGGAAGAGAGTGAGAATGATCCACAGCTGGGAATGGTTGTTGGAAAGAAAGCATGCCCGTGAGGCTGCCCCCTTTTCTCATGTGGTATAAATTGTTGTTCCCTTTGAAGTTTGGCATTCTTGTGTCTGCCTGGGTGATACAGATCTTGTCTGCACCCTCTCCAAGGTGCTGCCAGCCTTCTAAATGTGTGGTGCACAGAACGGGGACGCAGTATCCCAGTCAGAATCATATAGTGTGGAAAGAGGCTGTTCAGCCTATCAAGTCTGTACCAACCCTCCGAAGAGCATCCCACCCAGACCCACTCCCCCCATCCTATCCCTGTAACACTATTTCTCCATGGCTAACCCACCCAGCCTGCACATCCTTGGACTCTATGGGGCAATTTAACCCAGCCAGTCCACCCTAACCTACACACCTTTGGACTGGTGGGAGGAAACTGGAGGAAGCCCATGCAGACACTGGGAGAACGTGCAAACTCCACACAGACAGTTGCCAGTGCTAACCCCTGAGCCACCCAGTTGAGGTCAGTCTAGCAGGTGATAAAGTTTGAGCGACAACTGGTTCACTCATCATCTTGTTGCTCCTTGCAGGCCATGATGCTGCAGCTGATTACTGCCGTGGGGGCACTGGCCGGCACAGCCTGCTCTCTGATGGCCGAGGGGATCGGGGAGGCCGCCACTGCCTGGATCCTGCCGTTCACCGCCGGCGGCTTCATCTACATTGCCACTGTCTCAGTCATTCCAGAGCTGCTGGATGACTCGAAGCCCCTGCAGTCGCTGCTGGAGATCGCCGCTCTGCTGGTCGGGGTCCTCATGATGGTCCTGATCGCTGAGTATGAGTAGGACGTGGCGGGGCTGGGTCGGGGGCATTGGGGTGGGCTGGGTACACAGAGAGAGAGAAAGAAAGAAAGGGAGTTTGTGAGAGGCACCGACACTAGGCAGGAGTTGCCCTGTCACGGGCAGATGAGAGGGCACAAGGAGATACATAACCAATAGGAACCACTAGGACTGAGGTCTGCAGTAAGTCAGGCAGCCCTCAACCTCCTGCAATTGGGACTTCTCTGGTGGAGTTAACACTCAGGAGTGGCATGTTTATCAGCTGATAATCAGTTTTATATATAAATATATATATTTTTTAAGAAAATGTCATTGTGCTAGTCTGGCTGAGTGTCCAGACCCTTCCAAACCTATATTGCTCTTTCTGCCAGTGCATTAACTTGAGCAACAAGGGGGCCTGGATAGTGACAACCGACCCACGCTGGCCATTCCTCATTTTTTGTTTTTTTTTAAAAAAAAGCATTTCCTGCATCACTTGTACCCCCGCTAGCTTGCTATCTGTCGTGTCAGGAATCAAAAACTGCTGTTTCAACACTCGAGTGGTGGAAGCGGACTGGATACGGGGAGGGGGGTGGAGAGAGAAAGTGGTAAGACTGTCTGTGTTTGCCCATTGCTGGTAGAAGTGGCACCGGGCTCCCAGACCGGCTCCAGGAAACAGAAACCCTGTTCTGCACCCCTCTCTCAATCTTACTGGCAATTGCAGATTCCAGACTTCACGTTGTCTTGTTTCTTGTGAATGTGAGGTGGCGGAGGAAAACTGACAAACCGGTGGAAATTTAACCCAGCTGACCAGAGCACCACAAGCAGGTGAGCCGAGAGTTGGGTTAAAATTGCTCCGTGTGTGTGTTTATATATACATGTGTAATTTTTAAAAGTGTAATCTGACACGTATGGGTAATTTTTCATTTTGGTTTTAAGTACTGTAATCTGACTCCACGTAGGAGCTGTATTGGAAGAGAATCATGGCTACAATTAGTTGGGTTTACTTGTCATTTCCTTTTGCTGCGTAAGTCCTGTATCAATGGTTCTAAAATGATTTAAAATAAAACTCAATCCTTTGCATTCAAGAAATTTGTGTAAAATAAAACCCACATGTACTCTGTATGTTGAAAGTTCAAGTATCCTATGTTTTTCCCTTGTATCTCTCCTCTCTTCCACTCTACAATCCTGGGATTCTGCTGTTCAAGCCAGGGCCTTGGAAATGCTTGGTGGCTGCAGTGGTAGTGGAGTGGCACTAGGTGGCAGGACTGACAGCAAACCAGCAAAGGGAAGAGAAGGAACCCTACTGAGCTAGGAGGAATGGGGGAACTCATTTCTCAAAAGGGAAGAAAATAGGGCTGCTCACATTCATCTCTGGCTTCAGAAAACTTATGCTGTCCTGGAGTTGCAAGCCTTCATCCATTTTTAACTAAAAGTTTCTTCCCACCATCCAGTTGTCAGAGTCATACAGCACAGAAACTGACCTTTCAGTCCAACTGGTCCATGCTGAACATAATCCCAAACTAAACTACTCCCACCTGTCTGCTCCTCCAGTACTCAGCAATGAAGGCAAGTGTGCCCAATGCCTTTCTAATCATCCTATCCCAACCTGACACAAAATATTCATTTATTATTTCTCCCATCTCCTGATGTTCAACACAAAGAGGACCTCCTTGATCTTTAAGAGGCCATACCCTCTCTCTAGCCTTAATCTCTCTGGATCTCTAATACATTAGTAATTTTGCAATTTGAGTTTGCAACACCCCTGCACTGAGCCCCAAAATCTAACCTGTGAAATTCCAGGTCATCCAGATCTCTGCTGAACGTATCCTAATTCACACCTAAATCCACTTGATCTACAGAGTGATGCCTTGCTGTTAAAATTGTCCTCTGTTTTTTTCAGATCCCTCCGTGGCTTCCCCCCCCTCTCTCTCTGCAATCTCACATGTGATATCTGCAGTCCTCTTCTCAGCATCTCCACTTTTAACCGACACACCACCATCATTTGGCCATGCCTCTAAGCTCCATCATTCCCTTACTTAATCTCTCCAATGCCTTTGAGACTGTCATACAGCACAGAAGCAGACCCTTCAGTCCAAACAGTTCATGCCAATCATGTTCCCAAACTAAACTAAACTAGACCTGCCTGCATTTGGCCCGTATCACTCCAAATATTTCTTATTCATGTACTTATCCAAATGTGTTTTAAACATTGTAACTGTATCCACATGCACCACTTCCTCTAGAAATTCATTCCAGCGTAAAAACGTGCCCCTCATGTCTTTTTAAAATCTTTTCTCCTCTTACCTTAAAATATATCCCCTAGTCTTAAATTCCACACCTGAGGGAAAAGATACCTACCATTCACCTTATTTATGTCCCTCATGATTTTGCAAAGTTGTGTTAAGGTCACTTCTCAACCTCCTATACTCCAGTGAAAACGTCCCAGCCTATCCAGCCTCTTATAACTCAAACCTCCATTCCCAGCAACATCCTGGTAAATCTCTTCTGAACACCCTCCAGTTTAATATCCTTCCTAGCACAGGATGACCAGAACTGGATGCAGTACTCTAGAAGAGCCTCACCAACATCCTTTACAACCTCAACGTAACATCCTGACTCCTACATTCAAAGGTTTGAGCAATGAAGGCAAGTGTGCTAAATGCCTTCCTAACCGCAATATTTATATGTGATATAAACTTCAAAGAATTATGTATCTGAACTCCTAGATCTCTCTATTCCACAACACTACCCAGGGCCCTACTTTTAATTGTCTTCTGTCCTACTCTTGTTTGTTTTACCAAAATGCAATACCTCACACATTTATCAAAATTAAACTGCATCTGCCACTCTCCAGGCTATTGACCCAACTAATCAAAACCTCTTTACAATCTTAGATAACCTTCTTCACTGTCCCCGATACTACTAAACTTGGTGTCATTTGCAAACTTACTAACCATGACTTCTATATTCTCATTTAAATCATTCACGGAAATGACAAACAAAAGTGGACCCAGCATCAATCCATGCGGACCACCACAGGCCACAGACCTCAAGTCCGAAAAACAACTGTCTCCTGCTGTTAAGCCATTTTGTATCCAAGTGGCAAGCTCACCCTGAATCCAATGTGATGGAACTTCACTAATTAATCTACCATGCGAAACCATGTCAAGTAAACAATCCCTACTCCTTTACTTTGGGCACACTGTTCAATAAACCCCAGCCAGTGGGACTGAGACGACGCAGATTTAATTTAATGCCCCAATAACTTGCCACATCGTGCTTTGCTTCAATGAGTTACACAAAAATTACAAAGAGTGGAACAGGAGCTGTGCGCATAGTCAGCAGCAAAAATATACCTCCACGTTTTGCTAAATTCAACTAAATTACAAGTGGACAAAGAACAGTGGAATTGACGACAAAGCTTCTAGAAAATTATTTAATTCACTTCCAGAGGTGTCTGTAAGCACCAGGAGGATTCTCAGTTGGCGGGTTGTTACAGGATCTGAAGCTCCTTGTCAATTGCCTATAATAGGGAACATAGCAGAAACATACAGATCCAGACTCCACTTCCCCATTGCTGATTCTGTCAGAGTCAGAGTGTTTGAACATTTATGTAGTGTTGAGATTAAGAAGGCAGGATTTGATAACTTGTGCTTATACCTAGCAGGAAAGGGCACTTTTCTTTCAAAATGTCCAAGCAAGTACAAGGAACCGGTGGGACAACTTATAAAATTATAAAGGGAATTTGATAGAAAGGTAACCACCTTTCCCACATCCCACACCCAGAAGAGGTCAATAAGTCCAGGTCCAGGGATTTCAACTATGGAGGGAGTTTAGAGAAGCTGAAACTGTTCTCCTTGGAGAACAGGAGATCTGATCAAAGTATTCAAGATCATGAGGGGTCCCAACAGAGTAAACAAGGGGGGAAAACATTCCCACTCGTGGAAGGATGAGTGGACTCCGATTTAAAGTAACAAGTAAAAGTAATAGGAGGAAATTTTCATTTCAGGCAGTTAGGGTTAGGATCGCTGCAAAGCATGGTGCAGGTAGGTTCAGTCGAGGCATTCTATGGTTATTTAGAGAGGAAGAATGCACAGGGTTACAAAGAGGAAGCAGTGAAAATGCATGAAGTGAAAAGCTCTTTTGAGCCACTGCTGTCATGATGGGCCGAATGGCTTCCGTGTGCACTGACAGGGTTCTGTGATACTACGTACAGTGGTGGGGGCAGCTAAACTTGGTCACAAATTTGAGGAAGTCAGTAATAAATCTTAACAGTCATAAACATCCAATAGGGAATTCAAGAGAAACCTCTCCACTCGAATGTGGGGAGCTCACTACCACTGAGGCGCAATAATGTCGATGCATTAAGAGGTGAAGTTCGATAAACACGAGATTGGGGGAGGGGAGTGGAGAAAACGTTTATCTTGAGAAGGTGAGATGACGAGAGGTGGAACACAAACATCGGCACGTACCCATTTGTACGCTGTCAGCTGTGCAAGTCGCTGGCATTGACTCTGGCTTTTAAACCCCTCAGCCTCCGCCAGGCTCATGCCTGAAACCCCCTTTACCAGTGTCTGCAATAGGAGGAGCGACCTGGTGTACAGCAATAGTCAGCCCCCACACTGTGCGAGGGAAGAGTGGAAATAAAGTCAACCTGGGGAGGGACGGGGTGCATCCGAACCAGGTCCATCAGGAGCGTGCTTGGATGTTGAAGGATGAGGAGTGATGCTCCTAATATTCAAATAGCTAGTTGGCATAGGAAGAGTGATGGTGGGTGGGAGAAGTGCTGGCACCCTGTGGGGACAGGAGAGGAGGTAGTGTTGAAGGACCTGCTGCTGGCACCTGTTGGCATGGATGCAGACTCAGGTGGAGTCCTTCAGGCTGGCAGCTCTCTGAAGGGACACCGGTACTTCAGTGGCTCGGACGCTCTGTCTCCAACGCAACTCGCGGCGCTGTCAGCTATGACCGCAGTCTCCCAGAAAGGTTCAGACAGGAACGTGAGCAAAGGGTGCACTGGCCTGAACGCTCCTCCTCCTGCAGGCTGTCACCCCAGGAACCTGGACAGGTCATCTTTGATCTCCGCTTCATCCCAGGGCCCGTGGATGTTGCTGTGGGAAGAAGGCGGCAGAAACAGATAGAGTCAGGTGTCGATCGGTGAAAAGAGACTGCCCCAGGCACAGACAGCGACCTCCTGCAATCCGAGCTGCGTCACCAGAACAGAGGTGGGCGATTGCACCAGGTTTGGATGGACACAGTGTCACACTGGGCTCTGTCCTCAACCATGCATGAACCGCAGGGACAACACAGTCAGTGAGGGAGGGGCTTCAAATCACACTGAATGCAGCTGCGTGTCACCAGATCATGTGAAACAGACCTGCTCTGACAAAGCCTTTCACAGGCCACAGATAACTGTTTCTCAGCCAATTATGTAGCTTCAGGATTCTATAACACACAGTAGTCAGAGGGCATAGTGAGCTCAATGCGCCGACCCTCCAACTGCGCCGACCCTCCAACAGCGCCGCCCGCCCGCCCCCAGCGCTGCTTTGCAAGTGGACACCAAATGGACAGACAGAATAAGTCTGACTGGAGGTTAGGCTCTCACCCATGGGTGCACTTACTCTTTCGAGGACTGTAACTTGATGAGGTAGTGAGGACACAGCAAGGCAACTGCTAACAGCAGCAGAGCGAGGAGTACAGCTCCTGTGAGAGAAACCGTCAGCACCCCCAACAAGGCAGCCAGGGTGAAGATAACGGTGACCACTAGGTAACAGCGAGGAGTGATTGCCTGAAAAACAAGAAGAATAGATATCATTAACTGAGAACTGGCTTATTAACACATCAGCTGCTTTAAATGTCTACGTCTGGCCGTATGATACATCCCCGGGTGAGGCAGTGTCAGGCTGTTCAACCATAATGGCAAGGGAGAGGCGAGTGTGCTGAGGACACTGGTATGACAGCTGCTCATTTCTGTCAAGTTTCACATCATTCGATGTCCCATCTTCCACAAGGTCAAAAGTGGAAACATTCGTTGACAACTGCATTAATTCAGCAGGATCTACGACTCCTTTAACATTGAATCAGTTCATGCCCTAAGGCCTGCATGATATCGCGCCCGGGACTGACAGAAGCCACACAAGTACCATTGCCCCCTCACTGCAACTAATGGCACTTCCATCGCTCTGAGCCTCCTGGTGGTTAGCAGTGACCACAAACTGAACTGGGCTAGCCATACAGGCGTGGCTGTACACGAACACTGGGAATTAGGATTGTGACTTTTGACTCCTGTCTCATCACAGCATATGTATGTTCACACAATGTACATCACAAAGAGTGTGATGGAATACTCTCCACTTGCCTGGATGACTGCAGCTCCAACAACACAGACTCCACACCACGTAGGACACAGCAGCTTGAGGGCTGACACCACATCCACCACCTGCCAGTTTCACTGCCTTCACTACGGCACAGTGGCTCCCATTGTAAAAACTGTACAGAAGTCAGTCACCAAAGCTCCTACACTCTCATCTCACAAATGACTAAAAATAAGCACAGCTCCATCTGAACGTCCAGTATGAGCTTAGCCCCAAAGCCTTGTACTTTGTGAATCCAGTTCTGGATTGTTAGCGCCCACACTGGAGCAGTGTGCCCAGGACAGGTAGGGAGAACTGTTCTGTGCAAAGTTTCACTCCTGCCAAGAGAAAAAGAATCCCATTTTTCTCGTGGGGATCTGCTCACTGAACAGAGCGAGGGCACCGGCAGCGGAAACGATCCAGGGCCTATTGCGAGCCGCCCCACAACATGTGGCCCTTGCATCCCCTCCCAACCCAGAATCTCCTCTCCTCACACCCGAGAGCCTATCATCCCTGCTTCCATTTCCACCAACCCCTTCAGCATCCCTTCAACCTTGTCCTTCACCCCGACCATCCCAAACACATCATCCGCACAAAGCCGCACCTTCAGCTTCTTCTGGAACATAGGCCAGAGGGCGAAGACCTCGATGGCTAAGGTGACCGTGACAAAGGCGTGGAGCGAGCTGGGAAGTCGCGAGGCCAGGCATACCGAGGCGAAGATGGCCATGTTCAATGACAAAGTGCTGGAGACGCTACAATGATAGAGAGAGAGAGAGAGAGAGAGAGAATGAGAACTGCTGGGGAAGAGGCAACGTAGATAAGCTGGGAGGGAACCAAACCAGCCGATGCAACCACTAAATAATTTGATGGAAAACTGCAGAATGGAAATATTCCCCTCTGAGATTGGGCAGGCCCCTCTCCCCCATCCCTCCTCTTTCAAAGAAATTGCCACTGGGTCCGAGAGTACTAGCTGTTCACTAAAGACCTGCAATTCTATAGCGCCCGTCCCCACCTCAGAGAACATCCCAAAACAACTAAGGCACTTCTTCTGGGATAGTAGGAACTGCAGATGCTGGAGAATCTGAGATAACAAGGTGTAGAGCTGGATGAACACAGCAGGCCAAGCAGCATCAGAGGAGCAGGAAGGCTGATGTTTCGGGCCTAGACCCTTCTTCAGAAGGGTATTTTTCTGAAGAAGGGTCTAGGCCCGAAACGTCAGCCTTCCTGCTCGGCCTGCTGTGTTCATCCAACTCTACACCTTGTTATCTAAGGCACTTCTTCTGAAGGGCAATCACTGTTCAAATATAGCAAACACCACAGCCAATTTGCTGACAGCAAGCTCCTGGGAACAGCAATACAACATGGCTAGATAATCGGTTCTGATGGTGCTGGCTGAGAGATAAACATCCAACGCCCAAATACCTGCAGGCCAGACAGCTTCCCCATGGTAGGTGCAGTTCAACACAGCAGCTACATCACCATCTTAAGAGATGGTTGGGGGATAGGCATTTACCGGTTGCTTTCGCCAACACCATCCACATCCTAAGAACAAGTGACTGAAGAGCCCTAGTTGCGCTCAGTAAATTTCCAATCTTTTCCTACATGTTTGCCCCCATTGAGAATGTCAGCACTGGGGAACGGGACCTACTCCCATTCTGAATGGAGACCAAGGCGCGTGCAGAAAATATTAGATTTGGAACAAAACTCCCTTTGTTGAGGATCGTGTCTGAACTCAGACAATTTTGTCCATCTCAAATGCACTTGAACAGACTGCATCTTGGCCATGGGTCTGCAAACTGCAGTCCTTAAGGCATGCATAGCTTCCAAACTTTCCTAGCTGGATTACATTATCACAAAAAGACAGTCTAAAAATGTACTAGGTCAAGGAAATGAAGAGCCACACTTCTATTGTGTGGACAAAAGATGAATATTCAAGATTTAGTTTACAGCTATTAAATTATCATTCTCTAAATAAATCTGTGTGCACTCTCTCCTCTTATGTGGATTCAAGAACTGTACACAATAATCTGTGATCTAACCAACCTTTTACACAGTTCCAGCCTACCCTCGCTGCTCTGAAACTTGATGCCTCAGCTAATGAAGGCTAGTATGTCTTAATTACTTCATCTACCGGTCCCACTACCATAAGAGACTGGTGGACACACACTGCAAGGTCTCTCTCTGATCCTCGATGCTTCCCAGGGTTCCTTGCCTTGTTTGTCCTACCCAAGTGCATCACCTCTCCAGACCGACTTGCACTGAATTTCATTGCTTATGGATGCAAATTATACTATTTGGTAAAATGCCAAGTATTTGGTTTTGAAATGTTAAAATTTCATCCTTCGGTTCAAGCTTTTTTTATTATTTAAAAAAAGGAGAGCTTTTCAAGTTGTCAACCCTGATCTAGACCTTTGTATCTACCAGAGTGAGAGGACCAATTTCCAGTCATGCAGTGAAGTTTCCCCATTCAGAACTTACATGGCTGCATTGGCTCCATAATCAAAGAATATCAGGTGACCCAACAGCATGAAGACCTGCAGAAGGAGAGAGACCAATCATTATTCAGGAGTTAGCTCAGTGTGATATTAAAATACACAGGGATTGATTTAAAAAAAAAACATGGATGTTCTTCCATCCAAAGAAGAGTCAGATTAGAATCAAATTGTTTTCTATGCTTCCCTCTCTCTCCAAATGCTGTCAGACCTGCTGAGTTTCTACAACAATTTCTCTTATTTCAGATTTCAAGTATCTCCCAGTATTTCGCTGTTATTTGAGCATTTTTAAGGTGCACATATACTGAATCAAGAGCCCAGCAGGTACAAGGGGCGGCACAATGGCTCAGTGGTTAGCACTGCTGCCTCTCAGTGCCAGGGACCTGTGTTCAATTCCATCCTTCAGCGAGTGTCTGTGTGGAGTTTGCACATTCTCCCTGTATCTGCAAGGGTTTCCTCTGGTGCTCCGGTTTCCTCCCACAGTCCAAATAGGTGAAGGTTAGATGGATTGGCCAAGCTAAATTGTCTGTAGTGTGCAGGGATGTAGGCTAGGTGGATTAGCTATGGGAAATGCAGAGTTATGGGGTAGGGTGTGGATCTGGGTGGGCTGCTCTTGTTAGGGTCATTGTGGACTCGAAGTGCCAAATGGCCCGCTTCCACACTGTAGATTCTCCGATTCCACAGGAATGATGGGTGAACATGACGAGGTCTACATAGACAGGGAAAGAAACTATTCCTGGAAGTGAAGGAATTGAAAGGCCATTGATTTAAGGCAACATCACCGGAGAAACTGTGGAGATTTGAGGTAAAACCCTTTTGCACCACAAGTGGTTACAATCCAGTATGTGCGGAGGAGGAACATTCAATCATGGTTTTCAAGAGGGAATGGACTGGTATCTGGAAAGGAAAAACGTGCAGGATGGCTGGGAAAAGGGGGAGTGGAAGAAGGTGCATTGCTCACTCAGAGAGCCAGTGCACACAAAACAGGCTGAATGGCCTCACAGGATGTGGTAACAATATTGAGAGGCAGTAGATGTTAGCTGAGCTCAACTTCATGTTGGAACACTGACCAGGGGCGTGTTGAAATAGACAAGTTTAAAATTGACAGAAGCAGAAATGAGGGTGTCCGCGACTGACAAACTGAAGGTGTGCAGGGTCCAATATACTGGAAGACTGGCTGGGGCAATGTTACATACGTTGAAATAGACAGTAAATCTCAGAGGGTTGTGGGATGGGCGAAATGTACAGAGGGGGTTCGAGTTGAGGCCGTGATGCGTTATGGATAGCAGGAACAGTGTTTTAAAATTGAGTTAAGAGCCAGAAGACAGAAAATTAGAAGTCCAAAAAAAATGCCGTGACACAGTCCCCTATGGCCCTAATGGCCTTTGCCCACCAACGAATGAGGTAATAAACCCTTGTGCTGCCACTTACAGACATGGCGTAGATAGTGTCGGTGCTGATGGATTCTGTCAGTGTTTTCAGAACTGGGGCAAACCCGTACGTGAATGTCACAAAGACGACAGTGCTCTTTAGGTCAGCCCATCCTGTGGAAAGCAAGTTGGAACATATAGGGGTTAAAGTCACCGTTTTACCACCATTCCCTGCCCTCCGGGAATTAGCTTTAAATAAAGGTGCAGAATTCAACAGCCTGGCTAAGGCCACCCCTGAGCTGGAAGACACTATACCGACAAAGGCATTTAACAATGTCAATCACATTTCAGAATCATTTCTTTTAAACATTTCTAAATGTGAATTGTTATAAAGCCTGAATGACTTATTAACTCTCTGCTAAGTTGCCCTGCCATTTTCAGGACTTGAGCACGAACATCTCCAGCTCTCCCCACTCTTGAACACCCTCCTTTTTAAAAATTGTTCCATTTTAAATATATTGTTGGCCTTCAATCCCTCCAGAAAAATGGATCACTTCACACTTTTCTACATCAAATTCCATGTGTCTGCTCCTTTCCACCTTGCCCTCAGCAACTGTGGAGAGGGGTATAGAGTTTGTCATGAAAAGTCAGAGACTTGAAATGTCAGTTCTGTTTCTCTCCACAGTCATTGACCCTCGGAGTTTCTCCAGTGCCTTTATTTATTCTTATTTCCAATTTCCAGCATCCAGGTATTTTGTGTTAAAAAGGAATCTTGCAAAGCAATCTCTGGGTTCTTAATGACTAAGTGAGATGCGTTCACAACGCATTCTAACAGGGTGGTTATTGATTTGCAGATCCTGTCAAAACATGTTGGCATCAGGCAGTGAGAGTGCACCCTGATCAGCTACGTGATGGAAGGAAAGTTGGATCTACAGTCACAGCTCCGGACTATATGATGAATGTAAAAATTCCACATTGCCACTGCAATGCTGTCTACCCAAGTGAACTGTAGTCTGCTGCTACCATGTTGTGAATGTTAACAAGTGTTGTGAATGTGGGCAATCTCTAATACATTTCTCCTTTGCTGTACCTTTCCGTTTTTATCCCTTAGTCATCTTTATTTCCATGCTGCCACAGCCCCTTCTATTCCATTGGTTCCCATTTTGGTATAACCCAAAACTATGGTATTTTATTAAACAATTTTTTTGTAATCAATCCACATTCACTGTCCTAAGTATGAACGTATCAGTTAGGAGTAGGCCACTCAGCCATTGAGCCTCTTCCGCCATTCACTAAGATCATGGCTGATCTGATTATTCCACAAGCCTTTCTGACCCTGCGATACCTTCCACCACTTTGCTTAGCAAGAATTTGTCTACTTCTATATTAACAATATTCAAAACTTCTGCTTTTTCAAGGTGGAGTTCCAAAGTCTCATGACTCAGAAAGAAATTCTCATGTGATAAATGGGCGTACATAATTACTCCCTAGTTTCAGATTCTCACCTAAGAGGAAATGTCCTTTCTACGTCCACCCATCAAGACTTCTCAGGATCTTTTGATCAGGTCACCACCTCCCCAAATTACAGCAGATACAGGCCTAGCCTGTCAAACCTTTCCTCATGAGACAACCCACCAATTCCAGATATCAGTCTAGTACACCTTCTCTGAACTGCCTTCAATGCATTTGCATCTTTTCTTGACTAAGACCAAAACCGCACACGGTATTCCAGAGACTCAGCAGGTCTGGCAGCATCTGCGTGAAGAGGAAGAGTTAATGTTGAGTCCAGAACGACTCTTCTGAATGTCGACCTTGAAACGTTGAATTGGTTTCTCTCCAAGGCTGTTTCCAGACCTACTGGCTTTCTCAAGCACTTTAATTACAGATTTAAAGCATCCACAATATTTTGCTTTTGCTGCAGATGCAGTCTCATCAATGGCTTGTATAAATGAAGTAAACACCGTCCTAATTTTATACTCAGTTCCCTGCGCAATAATGAGCTTTCCTCATGACTTGCAGCCCTCAGTCACCTCATCAAAAAACTCAATTCAGTTTGTCAAACATTATTTTTCCCTGACAAGTCTGTGGTGACTTTCCTTTGTCAGTTGATGCAGGTGCAAATGGCTTGTCACCATTACCCTGAATGGTCTTTTCTAGAACCTTCCCTACTCCCAATGTTAAACCCCCAGGACTGTGTTAACAACTTTATCCCTCTCTCCTTGCTTCTTGAACAAAGGCTGTAACATTAGAATCGTGCAGAACTCTGGAACCACAGTGCAGTGCATCACAGAGAATGGCAGATTAACATTTCTGCAGTTCCTTCCTTTTTTTAATCTACTTTTACCTCATTCAGTAACCTAGTAACCTCTTCATTTAGCTTAGTCCTCTTCCAAAGTACTCATTTTGTACTTCCTTCTTCTGTCAAAGGATCTCCAAAGTGGCCCTGCCAAGTGCTCCCAACTGTCCTCTGACAACCCCTTTCACTGTTAGCAGGTCATCCACTCTTAAGCAATGTTGATTTGAGGGATATATGTAGTGCTGGGGTAGTCAACTGACTCAAGGATCTAGTAATATGATTCCCACTTCGGGTCGTCCACTGACCATGGAGCGGGGTCCAGGACTTGAGCGTAGGGAGCTCTGGACTCAGAGGCGAGAATGTAACCCCACTGGAACACGGTTAGGGAATCCCTGAGCCCTACAGAGATGCGCCAATCAATCTCCCAACAACCTCCTGGTGACTAGGTTCAAATTGGAACAGGTCAGTTTCAGGCGAATTCTACTTTGGATTGAGGGACAGGCTGCTTTTCCAGTGGGTTGGCACTTGCCAGCTGATGAGCTCTGCATTCTGGGTGCAAAATCAAACAGGAGAAGACGCAAAACTCCTGCGTTAGCCCTTGCAGTTGTCACGGGGTTCACACTCACGTGTTCGACCACTGTGATTTCGCCCTGCCCCTGAGTCAATGATGTCAAACGTAAGGTAGCCGAAGAGAGACAGAAGGAGGCCGTATGTGAAGAGCTGGTGAGGAGACAGGCGATTCTGGTCCATGTACCACCACAGGACAACAAACACACACACACTGGTGGAAGAAAACAATGGAACGATGAGAAAGAAGCACAGCAACATGGCAGGGGTGGAATCTGAGCTTTAATTAGTTTTATTCTTGCACAGAACTTGGAGGTCACTAGTTTTTGGGTTGTGGGTATAGCCCTTGGTGCTATTAGGGAAGGAACTGTGGGAGCTTGACCCAGTCACAGTAAAGAAATGATAATGTGCTTCCAAGCAAAAATGGTATGCGAAGTAGAGGGGAACTTGCAAATTTACATGCATTTGCTGTCTTTGTCTTCTTACTGGTAGATGTTTCGGGCATGGACAAAAATGACAGAGGAGCCCTACTGCAGCGCATCTTGTGTTACAGCGCCACACAGTGCTAGCACTGAACATCGGTGGTGGACGGAGTGAATGTTTAAATTTTTAAGCTGGGTGCTAACCAAGGAGGTTGTGTCCTGAATGAATTCAGGCTTGAGTGTTATTAGAGCCCCACATCTCAGCAAGTAAGGAACATTGTAGTACGGTCCTGACCCCTTGCTTGTGAGATAGCGGATAGGCTTTGAGGAGTCAGGAGGAGGGTTCTTGTGGGATTCTTAGCCTCTGACCTGGCCTGAACTGATCTGGTTCAGTTTCTGGTTAATGATAACCCCCAGGACGTTGATCTTGTGGGATTCAGCGATGGCAACGCCACTGAATGTCAAAAGGAGATGGTCACCGACAAGCACATTAATGGCATGTCACTTGCCACTAACTAGCTCCAGGCTGGACGTTGACAGGTCTTTCTGCACGCTGTAATATAGAAGAGGTGGGAGCTACTTTGCTCCCAGCTACCTCCCCACAAATAACGTGACAACGAACTAGAACATTCTTTCTTTTTGTAATTGAGGCATGATTATTAGCCAGGTACCTCTGGATAGCAGTACTGCACTTCAAAATATTCATAGATCATAGAATCCCTACAGTGTGGAAACAGGCCCTTCGGCCCAGCAAGTCCCTACTGAACCTCAGAGCATCCCACCTAGACCCATCCCCCTATAACCCACCTAATCTACACCTCCCTGAACACTGTGGGCAATTTAGCACGGCCAATCCACCTAACCTGCACATCTTTGGACTGTGGGAGGAAACCGGAGCACCTGGAGGAAACCCACGCAGACATGGGGAGAATGTGCAAACTCCACACAGACAGTCGCCCAAGGCTGGAATCGAACCCGGGCCCCTGGCGCTGTGAGGCAGCAGTGCTAACCACTGTGCCACCGTGCCGCCCTTTCCACAGGGATTTGCCTTGCCAACCAGAGAGATGCAGCACGATGGGTGCTTGCCTACACAGTGTAGGCAAAACGCAGATTGGGTCCACAAATGTGGCCCTGAGCTTCTATTGGCCTGTTTGTTGAAACCTGTCTCCGTTGCTCCCACTCTGAACTAGAACATCACTGACACTGTTCCAGTGAAGGTCAGTGCAGGGTCACTGAACAGCACTTGACCTTTCAATTAGGCAATTTACAACCTCTCAGACCTAACCTCAAGCTCAACAATTTCCTAGCACATCCATTTGTGTTTTTGGTTTGGCTTTGAGACACCTACTATTAGCTCTGATTCTGCATGTGCCATTCACACCTCCTCTAGACTCCTTTTTTGTTTCATTACTTGTTCCTTTCCCACTTCCTGTTGGCCTTCCAGCACCATCCCTTTGATCATTTAATCTGTCCTGCTTTCCACGCTGCCAAAGACTGTGGCTTTGTATTTTTTTCCTCTCATCCTTCCTCCTGTTGCTATCTCCATAACTTGCCTAAATCCTGTTGCATCTTGAAGGTCAGCATGTTCAAATGAAAAGCCTAAAGTGTTCATGCTGTTTCACTCCCTCCAGATGCTATCTCCTCTGCTGAATTATTTCATGCTTCCTCTGGTTTTATTGCAGATTTCCAAAGTGCACTCACAAAGTGAAGTGTGGTGTGCTTACCTGGACAACTGATGGATGACAACACTGGACTCACACACCACCGTCCATAACTGGTACTGGCGCACATAAACTAGAACAGAAAACAAAACTTATGGTGACAAAATCATAGGAACATGGGACTTTGGGCCAGGAGTAGGACATTCAGCCTTTTGAGTTTCCTATGTCATCCTACAAGATCAGGGCTGCTCTGACTCCACTTTCCTGTCAACAATGCTACCCCTTCCACCTTCCTCCCAGTCCTCACCTCTTGTGAACCTAAACTCTATCTAACTTAGCCTTAAATAAACTCAACTCCCATACTCCACTCTACAGCCTTCTGGACTCAATATTGAGTTCAACTATTTTAGGACTTGAGGCACCTTCTCCTCTGTCCTTACCCCAAGCCCTGCACACGAGGCCTTGTTATCACATGGGCTACTATTACACACAACCCACCATTAACCACTACTTGTCCACTAATAACTACTCATTCTCCTAGGCTGATCATTATCTGCACTTACCTAATACCGTCAAAATTGGCCTTTAACGTTTATCCGGTCTATCCATTTCCATCACTATTCTAAAATGAATAGAATTACGGTCACTGGCAGTCCCATTCTATTCTTTTTTCTTTATTCATTCACGGGATGAGGGCGTTACTGGCTACGCAGCATTTATTGCCCATCCCTAATTGCCCAGAGGGCAGTTATGAGTCAACCACATTGCTGTGGGTCTGGAGTCACATGTAGGCCAGACCAGGTAAGGATGGCAGTTTCCTTCCCTGTAGGATGTTAGTGAACAGATGGGTTTTTCCGACAATCGACAACGGATTCATGGTCATCATTAGATTAATTCCAGATATTTATTGAATTCAAACTCCACATCTGCCGTAGCAGCATTTGAACCCAGAATGTTATCTGGTCTCTGGGTTAACACTCCAACGATAATACCAAGAGGCCTCCCCTGTTTGGAAAGTTAAAATCCCCTAGTATAACCACCCTATTTCTTACAGATAACTGATTTCCAGCTTCAAATGATTACATTGACAGTACAAAACACATTTTGTTACAATTACAATTTTAATATTACAAGATTGCATATTGAAATAAAGGTGGATGAGATCCCCCTCCATCCCACATCTTTCTCTCGTCACTCAATGGGTGACACAATATTGAATTCAGCCCAATCGACCTATGTTCTGGGTTTGAAAACTCTGAACATACAAGAGTGATCAGCCCATAGTTATACCCTGTCCCTGTATGCACACAATGTGGTGTTAATACAGGAACTGAATTTACAAGGCAGCAACATGACAAAGGACTCTGCTGGCAATCCAAGATACAAGATTACAGACTAAATTAGTATCCCTGAAATGTGATCTCAGAAGGACAAAGGAGGACAAGCTTAGGAGAAGGAAACATTGAAGAAAAACACAGTCCCACAAAAGTTGGGACACAGATTGCAAGTCAATCAATTATAAATGTTAGGACAGGCTTGAGTACATTCTTGCTGGGTAACAGCACTAAATAATCAAAGTGAAACTAACGCGGAAAACTAGGAGCTAGCAACACAGGTCAGTCATGATTGTATCCAACAAACTCCAGGGCTGAATGTACTCCTGTTGTCATTTGTTGATCCCCTTTTCCTTTTCCATCTCTCTTTTTCACTTTTCTCTTCATCCCTCCTTCCATACAACCCTTTTCCCCCTCATTCACCTCTCATTATTCCCTTCCTATCTTTTCTTTCCACACTGCCCTGCTCTCTGTTGCTTTCCCTTCCTCTTCCTTATTCTCCTTCTTCCTCCCCGACCAACTAACCTCAACCCCCTCTCTCCCATCCAAACTGCCACTCCCCATTCCACTAATTCCCCCCCACCGTTTTTTCCTACATAAGACTCGTCTTTCCCCTCACAACACACTGCCCTTCCCCCAACCCCCAGGACCCCCCACCCAACACACTGCCCCCTCCCCACCCCAGGCTCCCCCCACTCAAACACACTGCGCCCGCCCCCTCACCCCAGACACCTCCCTAACACATTGCTCACCAGCCCTACTCCCCCCAATCGCCAACGCCACAAACCCCACTCCCCCAAACCCCCACTGGCCCAAACAACACCCCACACAAACCCTCCCCAACCTTCTTCCAACAGCCTCCTGACTCTACTCTCCAACCCACTGACCCCCCAAACCCC